TGTTATCCCTAGTTTTTCTAATGTTTTGAACATAAAGGGATGCTGTACTTTGTCGAATGCTTTTTCTGCGTCTATCCAGATGATCATATGGTTCTTATCTTTAAGTCTATTGATGTGGTGAATAACATTTATTGATTTCCGTATATTGAACCATCCTTGCATCCCAGGGATGAATCCTACTTGATCATGGTACACAATTTTTTTGATGTGCCTTTGTATCCGATTCGCCAGAATTTTATTGAGGATTTTTGCATGTAGGTTCATCAGAGATATTGGTCTGTAGTTTTCTTTCTTTGAGGTGTCTTTGTCTGGTTTCGGAATCAGGGTGATGTTGGCCTCATAGAATGAATTTGGCAGAGCTCCCTCTTTTTCTATTTCCTGAAACAACTTGAAAAGTATTGGTATTAATTCTTCTTTAAAGGTTTTGTAAAACTCCGCTGTATACCCATCCGGTCCTGGGCTTTTCTTGGTTGGTAGTCTTTTGATTGCTTCTTCTGTTTCATCCATTGATATTGGTCTGTTTAAGTTGTGAGTATCCTCCTGACTCAGTCTGGGCAAATCATATGACTTAAGATATTTATCGATGTCTTCACTATCTTCTATTTTATTGGAATATAGGTTTTCAAAATAATTTCTAATTGTCTTCTGTATTTCTGTAGCATCTGTTGTGATATTGCCTTTTTCATCCTGTATGTTAGTGATTTGAGTTCTCTCTCTTCTTCTCTTCGTTAGCATGGCTAAGGGTCTGTCGATCTTATTTATTTTTTCGAAGAACCAACTTTTAGTTTTGTTAATTTTTTCAATAGTTTCTTTTGTTTCAATTTCGTTGATTTCCGCTCTAATTTTATTTATTTCTTGCCTCCTGCTACATTTGCTGTTGTTTTGCTCTTCCTTTTCTAGGGCTTTGAGATGTAGTGTGAGCTCATTTATTTGTTGGTTTTTCCTTTTTTTGAGGAATGACCTCCAGGCGATGAATTTCCCTCTTAAAACTGCTTTCATTGTGTCCCATAGATTCCGATATGTTGTGTCTGTATTTTCATTTATCTCTAAGAATTTTTGGATTTCCTTCTTTATTTCTTCTGTAATCCATTGATCATTCAGTAATGTGTTGTTCATTTTCCATGTGATGTAGGATTTTTCCTTCCTTCTTTTATCATTGATTTCCAGTTTCATTCCATTATGATCAGATAAAATGCATGGTATTATCTCCACCCCTTTATATTTACTGAGGGTTGCCCTATGGCATAATATATGGTCTTTTTTTGAGAAGGATCGATGTGCTGCTGAGAAAAAAGTATATCCACTTGCTGATGGGTGATATATTCTATGTATGTCAGTTAAGTCTAGGTTATTGATTGTGATATTGAGTTCTATAGTTTCTTTATTCAACTTTTGTTTGGAGGATCTGTCCAATGGTGTGAGAGGTGTGTTGAAGTCACCCATAATTATTGTGTTGTGGTCTATTTGATTCTTGAACTTGAGGAGAATTTGTTTTATGAACGTCGCAGCACCATTATTTGGTGCATAAATATTGATAATTGTTATGTCTTGTTGGTGAATGGTTACTTTTAACAGTATATAATGTCCTTCCTTATCCCTTTTGATTAACTTAGTCTTGAAGTCGATTTTATTCGATATGAGGATGGCCACCCCTGCTTGCTTACGAGGACCGTGTGCGTGGTATATTTTTCCCCAACCTTTCACCTTCAGCCTGTGTATGTCTTTTCCAATCAGATGTGTCTCTTGGAGGCAGCATATTGTTGGATTTGTTTTTTTTAATCCATGTTACCAGCCTATGTCGCTTTATTGGAGAGTTTAAGCTATTAACGTTTAGAGTTACTATTGATATATGGTTTGTACTTCCAGCCATGTTTGATTATTAATCTTCTTTTTTTTTTTTTAATTTAGTTTGTTTCTCCATGATTAGCTTTCCCCTCGCCCTCTGTCTTTACAGAGGCACTTCCCACTGATGGTTTTGGTTATTGTTTTTCATTTCTTCCTCGTGTAGTGTTTTGCTCAAGATGCTTTGCAGTGCTGGTTTTCTGGCTGCAAATTCTTTTAGCTTTTGTTTATCATGAAAGATTTTTATTTCGTTGTCGTACCTGAAGCTTAATTTTGCTGGATACAGAATTCTTGGTTGGCATCCATTGTCTTTCAGTGTTTGAAATACGTTGTTCCAGGATCTTCTCGCTTTCAGAGTCTGTGATGAAAAATCCGTTGTTAACCTTATTGGTTTACCCCTGAATGTAATCTGCCTCCTTTCTCTTGTAGCTTTTAATATTTTCTCTTTGTTCTGTATATTGGATATCTTCATAACAATGTGTCTTGGCGTTGGTCTACTGTGATTTTGTGTGCTCGGTGTCCTGTATGCATCTACAATTTGTATATCCGTTTCCTTTTTTATTTCTGGAAAGTTTTCTGTAATTATTTCATTCAGCAGGTTACTCATTCCATTGGTTTGAATCTCTGTACCTTCCTCTATCCCGATGACTCGTAAGTTTGTTTTTTTTATGTTATCCCATATCTCTTGGATGTTTTCCTCGTGATTTTTTACCAGCCTTTCTGAGTTGGCTAGACTCTTTTCAAGATGATATATTTTGTCTTCATTATCTGACGTTCTGGCTTCTACTTGCTCCACTCTGTTAGTGATACTCTCAATTGAGTTTTTAATTTGGTTTATCGTTTCCTTCATTTCTAGAATTATTGTTTGATTTTTTTTTTAATAATCTCTATCTCCTGATAAAGATGCTTAACTTCTTCTTTTATCTGTTTATGTAATTCATTTTCAATGTGGTCTTTCACTGTTTGGATTTGCTGTCTCGTATCCTCTTTAAGGTTCCATTCCATCTGTCTAAGGTATTCCTTGAGTTCCTTATATGACCATTTTTCTGATGACTCTAGGTTCTCCTGAATATTTAGGCTGTCCTGCATTGTTTGTACTCCTTTTCTTCATTGCTTTTTTATGCTGCTCATGTTACTTCTTGTTCTGTTTGACTGCTGAGTTACTGTTTACTCTTATAAATTTATTTGATGCTTAGGAGGAAAGATATTAGAAGGGAAGGGAAGAAGTCACTAAAGAGGTAGAATTCAAGGAAGGGGGAATAAGAAAATTGAAAAGAAATGAAAAGACAAAAGAAAAAAAATAGAAAATAAAGTAAGAAAGAAAAAAAACTTAAAAAAAATGATAATAAAAAAATGAAAATGAAAATTTTAAAAAATAATAATAATAAAATAAAAAATTAAAAAAAATAAAAACATTAAAAAAAGTTAAAGAACAACAAAAAAATGAAAATGAAAGAAAAAGAAAAAAAATAATAATAAATGCAGTCATAGAGTTCGATTAACTTCTCTTCCAGTAGGTGGAGCTGTGCCTACTGGGCCAAGCTTCTCCTCTCTATAGGTGGGAACCAATCACTGTGCAGCAGCTCTTCCTCCCAGACTGGGTGGGTCTCCAATCCTGAGTGCCTAGGGCCTTCTCTTGTGTTTCATCAAGCCAGGCCCTGCTCACCTGTGACGCTCACAACAATACTGGCTACACGCCAGGTCTGCTGCTCCTGGGAGCCCTGTTTTCATGAACGCCTGGGCACACTCTCCCTGTTTGCCTCCCTCAGACCCTAAGTTTGTAGAGCTTGAGGCTGAGAACCCCCAGCGAATTTGCTTGCCCTCCGGTAGCCACGCCCCCGGTAGCTGGTGCAAGAGACCTCAGTTGTCAGAACTGGTGGGAGCGGTAGCCGGGAATTCCACACCTCGAGTCCCGTGCCACTCCTGATTCCCTTTGTCTGGCTATCGCACTCACAGGAGAGCTGGGAGGGGCCCTTAAGGTTTCACCGCTGTGTGGAGAGAGATGGCCAGGGGATTACACACCTGTTGTGCTGGTTTCAATGAAGTTATGTCCTCCGCCCATGACATCAGTTCTCTGCCATGGTGGTATCCCATGCAAATGGTGACCGTTCGTTCCCTTTGCCGGGTGACCAATGCAACGGGTGGGTCCTGACTGTCTCTCCCAAGCCCCTGTTTCAATCCTGTGGCCACTGCCTATGAAAGCTGGGTTGGCTTTTACCTCTGTACATTCAGAAGGGCGGACCAGTTATTTCAGCGGGATCGTTAGTGCTGAGTCACGAGAAGCAGGCGAACCAGAACTTGAATGCAGCCGATCCAGGCTCGGTGTGTGTGTTCTGAGGGGCCCAGACTGTTCGCCCCAGATCCACGTGAGCTCAGCATTGCCTAGTGATCCTGAGCAAACAGCATTTAGACAGTTTACGACTCCCTATGCCCGCGTAGCTGAAGAGGTCAGAGACTTGATCTCTCCGCGCCCGCCGCCATGTTGATCCAAGAGCTAAATCTTAATGATTGTTGTCATTAAGAAAGAATGAAAACCAGTCATAATGTGTCTCCCCATCAGAGAATATAACCTATCTAAGGTCCTGACAAAAGGGCCCAGTCCGAGCCTTATCAATCTTTTGGATCCAGCTGTCAGCTTCCAAGAAATACATGACAAAGGTACATGTTGGACTGCACTGCTAGTTTACAGCAGGAAAATTCAGGCACTGGGAAATTCTGCTGTTCAAACAATAAGAGATGGGGAATCTTGTAAATTAAATGATACTCCAAAGACATATTGAGTGAAAAAAATGGACAAGAGCCAAGTGTTATGTTTAGGAATAGACACTTGAGCGATAGCACACTGCAGAAAGCAGTTCTTACAAACATGGGCCTGATGATGGCCTTTGATGACCTTTGAAGGGAAAGGAGGGACTGTAACTTCGAGGGGCCATAGAGAGAGGCTGCTGGTTGGACCGTGGCTACCAGGGCATTGACCTGTTGTTGACTGAATAAGCTGTCCATGAAAGTTCTTTGTTCTTTTTGAATTCTTACTACATATTTACCCAAACAGATGAAACTTCCACCCAGGAATTCTTTTGTCATATGTGTAGATAGTAGGAGAAAAGCTAGATTTATTTTAGTAACTTTGATTGTTGTCTTTTCTTTCTCTTGTGTAGACGTAAAATTCATCCTGATCAGAAAAACATTAATGCTTATGTTGTGTTTAAGGATGAGATTGCTGCTACAAAAGCACTGAAAAGGTAATTATGTCTTTGAGGTTTGTAAAGAATGATTGTCCTGTTAGTTCTATGGAGACCTTTTTTATTAACATTACAGCAGATTCACATTGGAGCAGATACTTAAGTAATTTAGTGCTTATTTTTTTTGTAAGTATTTTTTAGTTGTAGTTGACACAATACCTTTCTTTCTTTCCTTCTTTCTTTCTTTCTTTATTAATTATGTGGGCCTGAGGAACGAACCCAAGGCCTTGCACATGCTAGCGAGCACTCTACAGCTGAGCCACAACTCCAGTCCCAATTTAGTGCTTATTTTTAACAGCCATTTCCACCTTATATTTATAATACAGAAATGGGGCCCAAATTGCAGATGGATTTCGTATTCGAGTTGATCTTGCATCTGAGACCTCGTCTGTAAGTAGTACTTAGTTGGTTTAAAGAACTGAACTAGAACCTTATGGAAAGAAATATTTTCTTTTGAGATTAGCTGGGAGGTGGTGGAATCAGTAATGTGAACATTAGGAAAATGAAGCAGTCTTTGTCCTCTGGGATCACAGAGTTGGTGCTGGGGCTGGGATATAAGGACTAGCATCTGCATTGCCTTTAAGAACAAGTCATCTTCCCCTTGAAGATTTCTCTACTCTGTCACTATCAATGGTTATGGAAAGTTGGCCTAACACCTTGTTTTCTAGACTGAGGTCTAAAAGTTCAGTAACTCACTAGACAGTGTTTAAGAACCTGCTTGATCTGGCATTTAATTCTAAGATATAGTCTCAACTCTCATGCTATATAGTGGAGATGAGCAGAGGGATAAATTGTGATTCTGCTTTATGGTAAATACTGTTACAAGTGCACAAGATGCTCAATTCAGAAATGGGGCACTTGACTTGAGGACATGACAGCAAGAAGAGACAGGAGCGCTTCCAGGAGAAGGGATCACATATCATTTTTGAAAGATGAGTAACATTTACATAGGGGGGGGATTTTTTTTTGAGTGATAGCAATATCTGGGCAGAAAAGGGAGTATTAACAGTGGGGACAGAAACCCTATTGCTCAGGGCCTGGCAAGAGCTTGACAGTGTTATTGGGTGGATAGGGTGTGAATGCAGTAGTAAGAGTTAAAGGCCAGATCAATGCAGAGGAATCTGGATTTGTCAGGAGCTGGTCCAGAAATTCAAATGTGGGAGCAGTGGGATCAGGTTCACTTTTGGCAAAGGCGTCTGTAAGTGGATGAAGAATGGTTTGTAGGGGTTCACCCCCAGAAATAGTGTGTTTCTTTTGATGTCAAAACAGTCTAGCTGAGCTGGGTGTAGTGGCGCATGCCTGTAATCTCAGCAACTCAGGAGGCTAAGACAGGAGGATCACAAGTTCAAGGCCAGCCCCAGAAACTTAGTGAGGTCCTAAGGAACTTAGACCCTGTCTCAAAACAAAAACAATAAAAAGGTCTGGAGGTGTAGTTCAGTGGTTAAGCACCCCTGGGTTTAATCCCCAGTACCAGAAACAAAAATTTTTAAAAATGGTCTAGTTGAGATATGTTAGTGGCCTGTTTGATTGGCATCCTCTCGTAGTTTCAGCAAACCATGGCCTCAGGGCCATACCCATCTAACCCCCTGTTTTGGTTAATAAAGTTTATTGGTACACAACCACACTTGTTTCTGTATCATCTGTGGGTTGTCTTTGAGCTACAGTGCCAAAATTAAGTAGTTTTTACAGGCCACATGGCCCACAAAGCCTATAACATTTGCTGTCTGACTCTTTTCAGAAAAGGTTTGCCAATCCCCAATACAGCAAGCCTTTCCTGAGCACTACTATGTGTCAGTGCTATTCTAAAGGAAAAGGCCCTCCTTGCTAGTTTTTGCTCACTCAGTCCATTAGGAAGATGGAATAGTGAGAGTTACACAAAGGATAGAAGCATGGTTAAGTCAGAAGGTGCATGACCCTTCAGATGTGGGGGTATGCTGGATGGGAGAATTTAGGGTGCTTCCCATTTTCTGGTCCATTGAGTGATTTTTATTAACCCTCTTTGTTTCAGAGAGACAAGAGATCAGTATTTGTGGGGAATCTCCCATTCAGTAAGTTTGTTATATTGTTATTAAAATAAGGGGCAGTCATAACTCAATGTCTTGCTTAACATAATTTTAGGATATGTGTAACGTAATAATATGTTCTTGGCTATGTTGAACTTGCTCTATCAAATATCTCAAGCTTTCCAAGGAGAAGGCAAATTTTATTTCTGTTGTGGTTGTTTTTGTTTTAGAAGTTGAAGAATCTGCTGTGGAGGAGCATTTTTTGGACTGTGGGAGTATTGTGGCAGTGAGGATTGTGAGAGACCCAGTTACAGGAGTAGGCAAAGGATTTGGCTATGTGCTCTTTAAGGTATGGAAAACTAATGCATTTTTACTATCCCGTGAAGTGCTCAGGGAATTGTCAATGCTAAGTCATCATTCAGATGTCATTATTATTTTCATGTCAAATTCTAACTTAAGAAAACTAAATTCATTGGGCTGGGGTTTAGTTCAGTGGAAGAGCACTTGCCTAGCCTGTGTGAGGCACTGGGTTCAATTCTCAGCACCACATAAAATAAATAAAGATCCATCACCAACTAAAAAATATTAAAAAAAAAAAAAAGTAGAAGAAAACTAAATTCATTATGTTCAGTGGTAGAGCGTTATTGCTGTAATTGCACCTAACCAAAAAAAGGTTCTCCCTTTCTTTGTACTAACACTATTAAGTAAGTAGTTTTGTAGATATTGGATATTACCAGGATTAAATATCTGAATCTCCACCTTGTGTAAAATGAAAAAAAAAAAAATTTACTTCAGTCTGAAGAAAATTTTAGTCTTTGCACAAGATTAAATTTCATTCACTAATTATTAGCCAGTGTTTCATGTCCAGCTTTAAGTGGTAAAAGAATATATTTACATAGCACTTAATTTTTTCTTACCCAGCAGTAACCCCTTTGTATAGTTCATTTTAGTTTTTTCCTTCTTTAAAGTTGACTTTTATCTGCAAACATAAATCTTTGCAACCCTGCTTTATTTTCTGTCATGTAAGCATTTTTCAGTAAGTGATGTAACATATAGTGTTTCCCTAATGTTATCAGTGTTCTCTGTTCTTCATTATAATAATGGAATTATAGTGGTTATGTGTTTCTTGCATTTTGGATTACTTCTTTAGGAAGCACCCCATTGGGATATATGTAAGTCAGAGTATATCACCATTTTGAAGACTTGATAAGTATCACTAGGTAGCTTTTTAGTTGCCTGCCTATGTTGTATATTCTAGAGATCTTACTGCTTCCCTGATTTGTCTTTTTCACTTGGTAAGCTTGTAGAGTCTCTTTAACAAACATTCAGGTTAATTAGCATTAATAGTTCTTTATTAAAGTAAAATAATAATAGGATTTTGGACCTGTGTGGAACTCTATAGAATGTCTAGTCCCATATCTTCAGGACTGTAATGGAGAATTCCCTGCCTTCACCATACAGTAGGACTTTTACAGAAAGGTGCCTTGGGAGAAGGTTTATTGGTGTAAAGTGGGCATGTTATTTGAGATCCCTTACGATGGAGCAGTGAGGCCTGTCTGACCATGACTCACCTAGGATTTGCCAAGGCAGCTTGAGTGCTCCTAGGGCTGTGTAGAGCTTAACCAGGAAGAGCACAGCAAGCACACACAAGATTGGGCTTCCAGAGTAGGGCTCCTGGGCAAGTTTGACAATCGCTGCAGTTCAGTTCTGTGGATGTTTTATTAGTCCCTTTGCAGGTGCATTTCTGTTGGAAGTTAACGTATTGGAATTTTTTTTAAATTGCAGGACACAGATGCTGTTCATCTTGCTCTGAAATTAAATAATTCTGAGCTAATGGGAAGAAAACTCAGAGTCATGCGTTCTGTGAATAAGGAAAAATTAAAACAGCAAAATTCAAATCCAGGTTTGAAAAAAGTCAGTAAACCTAAGCAGAGTCTTAATTCTGCTTCCAAAGATGCAGGACATTCTAAACGTGTATTTATTGGAGAAAAGGCTGTTCTGATTAAAAAGAAGAAGAAAGGACAGAAGAAAAGTAGACAGGCTAAGAAACAGAGAAAACAGAAGTAGCCGTTGGAAGCCTATGCTCTCTTTCCTGTAGAGGACTGCTGATTTAAGTGGATGAACCCAGGAATTGAGTCAGGATGTTTATGGATCCTATGTGTGAAATATGAAGACTTCCACAGCCTTAGTTGGTTTGCATCATAATGCTACCTTTGCAGCATTTGTTTTTAGATGCGCAAACTAGTTACCATGGATTATGTGTCACTACTAAAGGTACAAGAGATGACTTTGGACCTAAGATGAATGTTAAGATTTTAATGATTATTTATTAGTTTATATTAGAAATACACATTTTTATACTTCAGATGGTGATTGCAAGAATATTATTACTTGGAATGAGACTAAGTTAAAAAGTAAGTAAACTTAAAAGCAAATCTTAATACTGATTGCACTTAGACCACGTCTAATAGCCTCAAAGTGGGAATGCTGATCCCAAGTCTAGTCATAAACCCTGAGAAAGATTCAAGAACTGTTGTAGAATATCTACTCATTTTTCTTTCCTTGCACTTGAGACAGTGTACTTCTGTATTCTTATCTCATTCCACTAACCCAATAATAACTAACCAACAAGAATATAAAATGAAATGTGGCTCTCATTTCTTATATGTAACCAGTGACTAGATTGGTTATTGAAATCCTTGGCATATTGGTCATCAGTTTCCACTTTTTATTTTAATTTGAAAAATGTTCTTGGAAAATTTGTGTTCCTTAAATAGTGTCACTGTGTAGAATAAAATGGTCTTTCCAGAAAAAAAAAATAATTTTTAAGAAAAAGTTTTCTAATAAAATACAGTAAGGCACAAAGTATAAAGAAAGTTCAACAAGGGAAGAGAGTAGCACTGCATTCACCTAGTGACAAGCTGGTGTCCTTTCAGTGATCTTATCAAGCTGAGTGGTATACAGGAGGGAGGCCTGGTGTTGGGGGAGGTAGATGATGGTGGCTGATCTCTGGCAGGCAGAACCTTCAGTGAACAAGGGGTGCAGTCAAGGGAAAGTGAGTTATAGCTGATTTGAAAATCCTGTCTGAGAAGTAACACACGGAAGACCTAGTGGATCTTTTTTTTTTTTTAATATTTTATTTTCTTTAGTTTTCGGCAGACACAACATCTTTGTTTGTATGTGGTGCTGAGGATCGAACCCGGGCTGCACGCATGCCAGGTGAACATGCTACCGCTTGAGCCACATCCCCGGCCCCCTAGTGGATCTTTAAAATAGCTCTGTAGAGCGTTGATAGAGCTTCATTTTCCTGTATCCAAGGACTGCACATTTTATATTTGGTATCCCTTATGGCATTTAGAAATTTGAGTTTTTGTAAGTAGGGTTCAGTAAGTATTTGTTAGCCAATCATTGTTGAGCATTTTGCACATATTTCTAGTAAAATAAAAATGCAACATCTGTAGACTATAGATTTTATGGCCATATGTAGCCTTTGCATACACTTGTGACCTATGAATTGATAGCTTTTGAAAACACAACAGTAACATTAAAATTTTACTTCATGTTTGTTACTGTTTAATTGAAATTTGTACTTTCTCTAGGCGGAATTTGCATGTGTTACTATATAATTTAAAACACATGACTTAGGGAGAAAGGAAATATGTGTTTTGTAGAAAAATCCCCAGATATTTTGTGTAATTCTTTGTTACCTGAAAAAAATACTGGTGGTATGCTATATGTGATTAAATTTTTAGCAACAAGAGTTATATATGGGTGGTCATCAGTGGCTAGACTTTAATGATTGTAAATAAAGATTATTGGTTGTCTTGACTGATCATGAGCATTATTCTTGTTTTTACTCACACTCCCCCCCCCCCCCCCAAACTCTGCCTTGTGAATGTATTTTCTAATAATGATTCTGGGCTTAAAATGCAGGGTTAAAGAATTCTCACTTAGAATGAGAATATAAAGGAATGCTTTACATCACTTACCCAAGTACTTTCTCACTGGGATCAGATGGAACTTAGTGCCCTGAACATAGCTTGCATAGTTTGTTTCCAGCTTTCATGTACAGAGCCCTGGAGTGGTTGTATTTTTTGTTGTTGTGTGGTTGTTTTTTGGTACTGAGCCACGTCCCCAGCCCTTTTTTGTATTTTATTAGGGTTTCACTGAGTAACTTAGTGCCTTGCTAAGTTGCTGAGACTGGGATCCTCCTGCCTCAGTTCCTGAGCTGCTGGGATTAAAGGCATGCACCACCTTGCCTGGCTTCAGTGGGTTTTTGATCTAGCTCATCAACTCCGACCTTCAGCAATTTCTGTACCTAAATATTTTGATTGGATGGAGATCAGTGGTCTCGTGTTTTTGTGACTAAAATTATCTTTAATTTTACATAGTGACCAGTATAAACATGAGTATATTTAACTGACATGATAATTTTTTTATTCTATTTAAAAATACTGGTTATGATAATTTCACAAGAGTCCACCTGAACCTTGTTGAGGTGACTTCCAGCCTGAAAACATTTCTAAAGTGTAAATGTACATGTTTTTCATTAGAGTTTTGCTTTTGTATTAACGTGTTGCCTGGTATATTGTATATCTCACAGTAGCTCTCTCAACACTAACATTGCATTTACTCCACACAAGACTGAGGGGGAGAGTAGTACCTGTTTGTGTTTATTCAGGAGTCATATGTGACCACATAATCTTATTTTCAGGAGGCCTCTCATTGTCAGCTGTGTGGCCTTTTACAAGTCTGATTTCTCTTTTCCTTGGAAGGGGGGGTGCTGGGGATTGAACCCAAGGCATTGTGCATGCTAAACTAGTTTTCTACCAATGAGAATCCCTCAGACTCCGCAAGTTTTTTGTTCCACAGGGCTGAGGCTCAGGACATAACCTCCTTCAGTAATTGAGGTTTGCTGTCAGCTTTAGGGAATGAGAACGAAAATGTGTGTATGCGGGATATAACAAAAATTGTGTTTTGTGGGTCTCTTGTGTGCAATCCCGAGTCAAATCATTCACTCCACCTCCACACCCTCTTGCCCCACCCCATTCGGAGCAGATGCACATGTTCGCCAGGTCTGACTTCCAGTCTTGGGGGGCTCAGGTTCCTCAGCACTTAATGCAGGCCTTTCCTAGATGACGTTGGGTCCTGTGAGTGCAGGTCTCCATGGTGCCTCGGCCTGGCTCATAGGGTGCAGGGACAGTCCTCTATAGACTGCTATGCCTCAGACCGGCCAGGAGCCTGGGGACCTCGCACCTAGTGTTACCTATTATCTTCTCTGGTCCAATGCACTGAAAGGGCTGTAAAATCAGATTGCAAACCTGGGCGCAAATCAGAGCCGGCCATTGGAGAGGCGCATGTTCCATGCATGTTCTACGGAGTTGCCCTATTTTTCTCGCACATCTCATGACACCTATTGCAGCATACTGTTTAGTATTTATTTTCTAGTTCTAGGTGGACACAATAACTTTATTTTATTTTTATATGGCGCTGAGGATTGAACCCAGTGCCTCAAGCATGCTAGGTGAGCACTCCACCACTGAGCCACAACCCCAGCCCGCAACATCCTTTTTTAAGTGAATTACTGTGTCCAACTCGATCAGGACCGGACTTGCAAGGAAAGTGCACGTCACAGGCCGCCGGAATCAACTGCAAGACGAAGCTCAGTAGGCTTGGTTAAAGAAATAAACAAAGGCCTTCTACCTTTGTTCTTGCCGGCGAAGATCCCTAGCGCCCGACGCTCCGCCGCACTCGCTTGGGTCGCAGGCTGTGCGTGCGTGCGTGCGTGTTGGCGCACTCCGCCGCGCAGGCACCAACGCGAGCGCCCCGGGGTCCTCGGAGCCGGAAGCGCCTGTTCCTCCTTCCGGCGTCCAGAGCGACGGGCGGCGAGGCTCGTTCGAGTGTTCGCGGCGGGTTCGCCGCACTGAGGGAAGATGGTGGGCCGGAACAGCGCCATCGCCGCCGGCGTGTGTGGGGCCCTCTTCATCGGCTACTGCATCTATTTCGACCGCAAAAGACGGAGCGACCCCAACTTCAAGAACAGGCTTCGGGAACGTGAGTGGGACCGCGCGGCGCCCCTCCATCTTGGCGGCGGGCGCGGCCTCTTCTTGGGCCACGCACCATTCTAAGCCTCCGTCCTTAATCCGAAGGTCGAGCCTCCTTACTAGACGGAGTTCAGCCTGGGCCGGAACCCGCATGCCCACTGCGGCCGTTGCATTCTTAAACCCTCTTGGCGGCTTCGCCGAGTGCTTCCAAGATATGAGTGAATGCTAGAGAAATTGCGGGGGAGTCCAAAGGGCTGCGCCTCTCTCGTGGCTCAGCCTCATTTCATACCTGCGACATCTTTTAAGAGCCGCTTCCCGAGGGAAATCATGTCCCCAGAAACGTTCTTAGGCCGCCTTGCGTTTCGGGGGGACCTTTGTTCGCAGCAATAGAAAAGCAATTTGTTTTAATAAGAAATATTTTTGTAATCTGCCCAGGTGGCTCAGCCATGTGGGTTGTTAAGGCCGCGGTCGCACAAGAAGTGGCCGCTCTGCTTGGTACTGAGTGTTTAATTCGGTGGTACCATATCGCCGCACGTGGTCCGTAGCCGCACGCGGCTCTTGACCCGCGTTCTGGAGCGCGCTGGTCATAGGCCCGCGGTGCAGCACGGTCTGGCTCCAGGCGTTAGCGAGGAGTGAAACCGTGGATTTGGTTCATTTACCGCTAGGTAGTCTCACGGAAAGAGCGCTGTTCTGGGCTGAGACACTGGGTTTCCACGCCCGGGTTGGTCACTGATGAGCCGCGTGATCTTGGGCTTTCTGCATCTTAATTTCCTTAGCTGTAAAATCAGGTAATGCGGCTTGCCTCTTGTTGGTTTGGGGGAAAATAAAGTGTGAAGTGCTCACCACGATTTATGATGTAAATGCCGACCGTTAAGGATGACTGTTGGAATACAAATCTATGGTTTCAAAAATGTATTGGGGGTGGGGATGCAGGTGCAGAGCTCCATAAAAGTAGATTAATTATACCTTTGGAAGATTTGAAGATCTGTTTCTTCCTCCCCTAAGTACTGAGGTTGGTAGGGAAGCCCTCTACTACTGACCTATACCCACAACCCTTTTTATTTTGAGGCAGGGTCTAAGTTGCCTAGGCTGGCCTCCAACTTGCCATTACAGACAAGTGCCACCATACCAGGCAAGAAAACTGGTTTTTGGTTAAAGAAATAATAAGAAGTATCATTTTAGCCGAATTGAGACAGTTATTCTCAGAGTGCCTTTTCCATCACTTTCAGTTCAAATTTTTTCTAGCTTTAGCCGTGATGTGATCATTTTAAGTGGATTACTAGCTCCAGCAGTAACAACTTCAAGCTTTTTTGTAAATGATGTGATTAAAGTGTAGAGTTTAGACACAGTAATTGGTGAATGCTAGAGATTTTAATTGATTTTTTTTTGCTAACAAGTAAACATCTTTGATTCGTGGTAATTTTGCAGTTTGTTTAAAGTTGTATGGTTGATACTAAGATTTGGGGTATTTTGTGTTTGTGGAATGAAGTTCATTTCAGTTCTTTTAAATTTGAATTTCTCTAGTCTAATTTCCAATAGAATACTTCGAATATTTATATTTGCAATGAATAGTTCTTCAAATCAGTCATTTAGATTTTTTTTTTTTTAATAGAGGCACTTGTCTAGCATGTGTGAGGCCCTGGTTCCATCCTCAACACCACATAAAGGTTTGGGGGTAGTTTGGGATTCTGATTTGTTGATACTTTTTGTTTCCTGTTACCAAATTATCAGTATGCTGTGTGTGCATGCTAAGGATCGAACCCCAGGGTTTTGTGTAAACTGGGCCCATGTTTTACCGAAGTTTTATACCTACAACCCCTTTCAATACTCTTAAAGCATAATTTTTTTTATCAATCTGAGTAATCATAAGTGAAATTTAATCTCCAAATTATAGTGCCAATTGTGTACATGCTGTGTAAAGGGTTTTGCTAAATTGCCAAGACTGGTCTCCAAATTGTACCCCATCTCAAAAAATAAAAAGGGAAAGTAACTTTGTGTTACAACCTCTGGTTATACATGCTGTGTAAAATGATACATCATTAGAACTTCTTTAAGCTAGCTTTAAAAATGATTTGTGACTATTGTAAGTAAGCTTATATTTTGTGGATATTTTTGAAAGTACACATCCCTGTTTTAACTGAGGTCTCAAATTTTTTGAGATGAATATCAGCAAATACTGAGTCAAGGCCTAGTTTTGCAGATTGAATGTGTAAGTCCCTTTGGCTTTTTTTGTTTGTTTTACGTGAACACAATGTCTTTATTTTAAACTTTGCTGATGTGTCATTCACACTATGCAGTGACACCATATACTCCTCCTCACTCTGTTGATCACAAATGGAAACAAATTTCATTCTACTGGGTTTCATTGTCAAATTTTGTCATTTTCCCCAAATTCTGTTGTAGTGAATTTTTCACTGTTAATTCCACAAACTTCTTTTGTTCATTTCTGAAAAGCCTTTTTTTTTTTTTTTTTTTTACGGGTATGTCTTTACTGCTTTATGCTGTTGAGTAGAGAGGCAAAATAGAATCATGTTTGAGGACATGTGCTCTGAAGTTCAGCTTGATTGCTTACTAGTGACCTTGGAAAATTTTCTCATTTGTATTTAGACCAGGCATGTTGGTGTACAGTGACCCTGGAATCTGAGGCAGGAAGATTGCAAGTTGGAGACCAGCCTTAGCAATTTAGTAAAACCCTTAGTAATTCAGCAAGACCCCATCTCAAAAAATGAAAAAGGGCTGGGAATGTATCTCTGTGGTATAGCACTTCTGGGTTCAATCCCCAGTACCTACAGTCTTCTAGTCTTACTGCTCCCCTTCCAGTGCAGGGCCAATCTGTACATGTCTACCTGTTAGGTAGTCTTTTCTGTTATCATTGGTTGTTTTCTGCCTGAAGAGGGCCAAAACCCTTAAGCAGATAAAGGGTAGAATTATGTTCTGTGTTTGTTTTTCACACTTAGTCATGCAGTGATGAACACTTTAGTAAAGGTAGTATATAAGAAAAATTGGTAGTCTTTATGTAAAGTCAACTTATATTTTTGTGTTGAAATGGTTAGAATTGGTTTTTTTTTGAGAGAGAGAGAATTATTTATTATTTATTTTTTAGTTTTCGGCGGACACAACATCTTTGTTTGTATGTGGTGCTGAGGATCGAACCGGGCCGCACGCCTGCCAGGCAAGCGCGCTACCGCTTGAGCCACATCCCCAGCCCCAGAATTGTTTTTTAATTCGCCTTAAAGTGGCAGCACTTTGTGTATTATGAGGGACTAGAGTTGGCAAGGGATACTGGTATGATTAAATCTACTTTGTTTGTAGGGATAGAATCAGAAAAGAGTGTACTCACAGAGTAGTCCATTGTAAATTAACCATGTCTAGATTTATGCAAACAGGATACTTCTTCAGGCATTTACTGACACTAAGTATTCAGGGGATGTTGCTTGTTTTATGGCTTTTGTTTCTCTATTCCTATAAGGTTAGATAGGCTTTGTTGTTGGAGAGTTAAGAGATTTACTTTCCCTAAGTTTCTCTAGCTAATAAGCAGTATTAGTTATGCCACATGATTATTGGCCCTGTCATAGTGGTTTTTAATAGTTATTACTTTTCCAGGTATTTAATAGTATAATTCAAATTAGACAATCTAGACAGAGGCCTTTATTCTCCTTAACTAGGTAGCAGTACTTAATTTAAGATTTCAGTAGTATAAGAACCTGTTGCCTAATTCTTGCTTCTGTTCCATGTTAGCTCTGTTGAGATTCAGCTGTTAGAGCAGTCTTCATCCTCTGAATTGTTTGGCTTGATAACCTAGAGGAAGAAGGCTTACTGACCAGAACTATTTATGTGTCCCTGACAGATCACAAGGAGTCCAGGGAAGCTGAGATTTTAACGTCACCCATGTTTTGCAAATAGTATTAATGACTGCCACCACAATCAGACTTACTTTGATTCTCATTTTGATAATGGCAAATGAAAATATGTACATAACATTTCTTGTAGGAAGAAAGAAACAGAAGCTTGCCAAGGAGAGAGCTGGGCTTTCCAAGGTAATACTCAAGTCTGATTTTTGTTTAGATTATGTTATGTATTTTATTCTTTTTTATTAATATTGTTTAGTTGTCAATGGACCTTTACTTATTATTAGTTAATATCCTGTTAAATCTAATAAATTATTTATTTATATGTGGTTCTGAGAATTGAACCTGGTGCCTCACACATGCTAGGCAAGTGCTCTACCACTGAGCCACAGCCCCAGACCCATGCATTTTATTTTTTATTGAAATATTATCTAAAAATCTGCTTCTGGTTTTGAGAAAGCTAGTTGATGTTGGACATTTATTTTCTGTTTTAAATGTAGTTTGTGAATGGGTGAATAACTTAGTTTAACTGTAGGTCATCTAGTTCTCTGTTGGCAGTAACAGCATGTAGCTACTAAACAAGGGAGTAGTTTGAGGCAATCAGATGATAGTCTCCAAAAGATATTTTCACCAGAAGGTTAAAAGTATTAGCTGGGGTTGTGTGGCTCAGTGGTACAGTGCTTGTCTAGCATGTGTGAGGCCCTGGTTCGATCCTCAACACCACATAAAAGAAAGGATAGATAGATGGATAAATAGGTAGGTAGGTAAGTAAATAAATAAATGTCTTTTTTTTAAAGGGGGGGATTAAAGTGTTCTCAGCTGCTTCAAAATGATAAAACATAGAAACTGTTGATTTTAATTCCCTTGTTCCAAGTTCCTTTAAAAGAACCATGTTATTCATATCCAAAATTATTCAAGATTATTCACACTGATCCAGAATCCCAATGCCCTGACTAGTTTTAACCTTGTTGTATGTAAATCTGTTATTTTTTATGTTCAAATCTATGATTATTTTTACTGACTACATAGGTTTATCTACATGTCCACATTACCTTTCTGACACATGTGATATGTTCATTGTGTGGATTTAAGAGAATAAACATATGGGGTTCTGTTTTGGGTCTTGGTTTATGTGTGTTGTTGGGGATGAAATCTGGTCTTTACCCATGTCGGTAGTGGCTCTTCCACTGAGCTACTTCCCCAGTCCCATTAATGTGTTTTTAGATGCTGGAATATAATCAAATATTTACTGTATGCTTGGAAAGTCAATACCTCCGTTTTCTGAAATATTTTTTTATATCTAGTGGAATTGTCTATTATAGTCATTTAATGTGGTAATGTATAATCTATGAAATGAAAACAGAAATTCAAACTTATTTTAAAAGCTGCTTATAGTTGTTTGTAACCGCAAAAAAAAAAAAAAAAGACTAGCTCAGCATAAAGAGCAAAGTATATAGATGGTGTAGGTATTTGTACCCTTCATTTTTTATGTTTGATTCAAAGCTTTCCTTTTTATTTCTTCCTGAGGTATTGGGGTTTGAGCTCAGGGTCAGGTTCTCACTGTAGTGTCCAAACTGGCTTGGAACTTGTGACCCTCTACTTCAGTGTCCTGAATAGCTGGGATTACAGGCATGCACCACCGTGAACTATATGATGTTGAGCATTTGTTCTGGTTAAGAACTAAGAACTATTCAGATACCAATTTGATCATTAAATGTTTTTCTTTCATTTGTTGTTATTTAGGAGTTTTGGGGGAAGAAGTCTTTTTATTTTTCTGTGTATGGGTTATATCCTTGGGATTTAATTTTGGTATCACTTACTAAATATTCTGTTTCCAAACAGTTACCGGACCTTAAAGATGCTGAAGCTGTTCAGAAGTTCTTCCTTGAAGAAATACAACTCGGTGAAGAGCTGCTAGCTCAAGGTGATAGTCACTGAAGATGGAGGAACTAGACAGAAAGTCTTTACACCAGTGTAAACTTATAATGGAAAGGGGGTTTGCTTGTGTAGTTTGGCTGTTTTAGGAAAAAGGAATTCTAAACGTTTCAAGATGGGGTTTCAGGTACTTAATAATGTGAGGATCATTTTATAAGATTGACTCCGGGAAGAAGTATTCCTTGTGGGTTATCATTGTCCATCATGTATTTTAAGTTAGTTACTTGCTCCATCATTTTATATAGAGGATATAATAAGTAATCTTTACAGTGAGGTTATTTTTGAGCCTTTTAGAGTAAATAGCCACAGTGCAGTATAAATAATAACAGAAGGAAGGAAAGTTAGGAATGTATTTCTCTAATTTATATGTGACAGCAGAATGCAATATAATTCTTAGTATACATAGAGCTCAATTTTTCATATCTCTGGTTGTATATGAAGTATATTCACACCAATTCATCTCTTTATACATGTACTTTGGATAATAATGTCCATCACATTCCACCATAGTTGCTAATCCCATGCCCTCTCCCTTCCCCTCCCACCCAGGAATGTGTTTCTCAATTCTCCCATCTAATCTTGAGGTCTTTTCCAGTATATAAGGGAAGGAATGGCTAATCTTAGTCCTAGAGAAAGTTAATTTACCTTGAGGTCACATGGTAAATTCAAAACTCTTATTTCAGAACCAGTCAATAATCTGATCCAGAATTAAAACTTTTCATTACCTTGTGCCCCATTTATTCTGTCAGTAGTATTTTGAGTTGGGCATGGTGGCACATGGTTATAATCCCAGCAACTCGGGAGATTGAGGAAGGAGGAGAGTCGTGGATTGTCTAACCACTGTATTCAGATTGACAACAAATTAGCAATGATTAAAAACAAGTGAATAGGGGGCTGGGGATGTGGCTCAAGCGGTAGCACACTTGTCGGGCATGCGTGCGGCCTGGGTTCGATCCTCAGCACCACATACAAACAAAGATGATGTGTCCGCCGAAAACTAAAAAAATAAATAAATGTTAAAATTAAAACAAACAAACAAAAACCAAGTGAATAGGGGCTGGGGCTGTAGCAAAAATAAAATAAAGGCATTCTGTCCTTCTACAAAAAAAAAAAAGATTAAACAAAAACAAGTGAGTAGGGGCTGAGGTTGTAACTCAGTGGTGGAGCGGTTGCAGTAAAATTTTTAAAAAGTGAGTAGGAAAACCTATCAAATGTTTTAAGTATGACTGTGAGATAGATGCCAGTCAAGAAATATTTCCAGGTCCCTTATGGACCATGTGCTTTAATTTCCCCAACAGCGAGAGAAAGAGGACCCAGGCATTGGTAAAAGGGAAAGAACATTCCCCTAACACAATACTTAATCTCAAATGGCACTGCTACTGTGGTCCTCTAATATTGGGTTTGATCTGTGCTGTGTAATAGATATATGGTGCTTTTGATGCTGTTGGAGTTGTAGATTTCACTTTTAATCTGGTTATCCAGTTAGCAAAAGTAGTAACAATATCCACTTTATACAGGAAGGAAGCTGAAGTTGACTTATAGACTTATGTTATATTATTTTGATTTATGTTGTATTGAAATATAACATTGACTTACTTATATGTCTTGAATACACCATTCAGCAATGTTGGATCCATAGAAAAGATTATTTCCAGGGCTGGTTCAGAAGAGATTTAAGGCCCTAAGGTTATCTATTCACAAGGAGGAACTGAGTGAATCAGCCTATCTTACCACCCACAACTGTACCAACCATTATATGGATCAGTGCACAAACCTGAGTTGGTTCTCTTGTGATGGGCATCATTTATAGCAGGTTAAGATGGTGGCTACATACAACCCAGCAACAATGGTCAGCATAATCGGAAGGTATCCTCAGTGCGTAGATGACACATCTATAATTTCCACATTAGCAGGAGAGAGAGAGCTGTTTCTGATCGTAGTTGAGAGGTTAACAGTGTCCTTGAAGAAACCCTTTATATGCAGATACCATCAGATACCTCAGACTTGGACCTAAAGATTTCTCAGCTGCTCAGACTGTAGAATAAGAAACACCATAATATACCAGATTCAGGACCAAATAAAGGAACATCACAGAGCTGGGGTTGTGGCTCAGTAGTAGAGCACTTGCTTAGCACATGTGAGGCACTGGGTTCGGTCCTCAGCACCACATAAAAATAAAAGTGCTGCATTCATCTACAACTATAATATTTCTTAAAGGAAGAACATCAAGAGTGACAGTGATGATACCCATGCTTGTACTTAGTTTATAGGGTTGTGCACATGGAGTCTGATGGTGGAACCTGAAACGTGCTTAGTCCCCTCAAGCTTGTGTGAGTGTATAATATGGTAGAAGAAGATTGGCCATTGTATGGAGTGTGGTTGGGGGGAGCGCCCCAGACTGGTAGAGACGGTCCAAAACAGTTATTACCTTTGTGTAAAGGCTCAAAATACGACTGTTTTTGTAGTACCCTTAATCTGTTTTATAGTACACCTTCTCATGTCATTGTCAACGTGGTTTAGAATAAATCTGAATTGGTTTAACGTTTGTGCTGTCCTTGGATTAAGGAGAAAGTTCAGAAACATTAGCAGGATTGTGGAGTAAAGGGGCCCCCTGGGCTTAATAACCTGAAGCAAATTCCTTGTAAAATGATTGATATAGTACATTAGTAAAGTAGTGATGTGAACTTGTTCATAAAAATCACTTAAGAACACCAGGCGCAGCTGCTCAACACCTATTCCTAATGGACTGCATGGTGGGTTGCATATAGGAGAGGAGTCTTGAATTTAGAGGACCCGAGTCTTTTCTAAGAGGTAGTCATGAGTATATTTGCCCTTTTCCTCAACATCAATGATGTGATACTAGATACTATGCAAACCTACCATTGCTCCAAAATCTAAGGTTGTTCACTGTGCAGACATTCTTCATCTGGAGCAAAGGCAATAAATGTCTCCATTGAGAAGTTAAGAAACATGAGCAATACCTGGAGAAATGAACCCCAACTATCTTTTTTCCCCCAAAGAATACAAAAGAGATCATTTTTTTTTTTCCTGAAAAATAACTCTTAAATAATTTTCTTCATTGAAATTCCTATATAAAGTACTTAATTTGAAACAACTTTAATAAAGTCAAGGTATTGTTCAGAAAATTTGTTAACAGTTCTTTGGAGTTAAAACAATTAACTGAGAACAAGGACCACATGACAAGTACTTAGTATTTATTGAATGAAAATCTTCAAAAACAACCTTTGTTGAACTTTTTGAAAGTTATTTATAAATGTCTGTTGAAAGAAATTCACAGAGAAATGAAAATAAATTCTACCAAGAGATAATGAGATAATGGGGTTTTTTTTAACCTGCTGCTTGTCATGCTTTCATTGTGACCATTTTTCCTAATATAGTATCATTTGAGATTTTTTTCTTTTTATGGGGTAACATTCAAATTGTCAAAAGGGTTGGTTTGAAGTGAAATTTGGTTTCCCTTTTCACTTAAGCCTCTAATCTTCTACTTCTCTCTTTAATGTTCCATTGTTAGCAATTTCTTATGTAATCTTTCAGAAGTATTTTAGAAATGTGAATAGTAATGTATTTGGATATTTCAATATTTAATTTCCCTGTTTTGTGTATTGTGCAGATTTCCACATTAGTACATATAATGTGACTCATTCTTTTTACTTCATAATATTCAGTTAATATGGATGCCCTATAGATTATTCCTAATTTTTTACTTGCACAGTGTTTTTGGTTAGCACCACTGAGAGACTGAGTGAAAAGTTGAATTTTTGACAAAAGCCCAAATTTAGGTTGCATATAATTTTGTGTAAATTTTGCAGGTGAATATGAGAAAGGTGTGGACCATCTGACAAACGCAATTGCTGTTTGTGGACAGCCACAGCAGTTGCTGCAAGTGTTACAGCAAACTCTTCCACCACCAGTGTTCCAGATGCTTCTGACTAAGCTCCCAACAATTAGTCAGGTAAAAATTGGGGTGTCATGAAATAAGAAGTGAGTGGGATCTGAGAATTGAATGTATAGGGATGTTTTTAAATGAGCCTAGCAAATGTCTAATACTTGTGATACCAGTGCTTGACATTGTCTTCCCTCAGGTGTAAACTTCAAATGTCCGTACCCTAGACCTGAGTCAAGAAATGTATTTCTTAGTGTTAGTCGTTTTAGGCCTTGGTATTTGAGTCCCCAAAGGCTACTCTTAGCTATTTTATAAAATTTGTTTTCTGCCTGCTCTTCTGGGACATCATGCCTTCTGTTAGGTGGCTTGGTTCTGGGCATAGAGGAGTATAGATTCCTGGCCTCTCTTGTCTAAACACTTTACCTCTGTTTCTGCTAAGATGGCTTTAAGTTTGGAGCTATTTGACTACATCTCCAGATTCCTATTCAAGTACAAAATGCCATTTATTTAAAAGGTTAATGTATAACTTAAGACTTCATTAAAACAAATTCTGTTCATTTTGAGTTCTTTCTAAGAAACCCAAATAAATCTACTTTTTGGCATAGCATGTCTGTCTGATCTATATGTTGACTTCCAAAGTCATTGTGATTAAAAATTGGTGATGATGGGTAGTTTTCACAGAATTTTATAGTTACTAACTGACCAATTTTTCAGACTGTCTTGTTGTTTGGTCCTAAGGATCAAACCTAGTGTGTGTTAGATAAACATACTGCCACTGAGCCATGTCTCTAGCCCCTTCAGACTGGTTTTTACATTGGAAAAGGACTGAAAAACTAAGTCTCGAGGATTTGAAGAAAAGAATTGGAAAACCAAAAATCTGATCTAAATCTTTTAAACTTAAACTTAAACTAATGTAGTTCTATTATATCTGTATTAGATTTCTCTTTGATGTTATATATTGTTGAGGGGCAGCTGTCTTAGTCTACCTGCTGTTGCTATAACAAAATATGCAGTGTTGGATAATGTATAAAGAAGTTTGTTGGCTAACAGTTTTATTTGCTGGGAAAGTCAAACAGCACAGTTCCAGTGTTGACCAGGGCCCTCTGCCTTTGTCACAAGGTAGAGAAGCAGGAAGGGAGCCAACCATGTGCAGAAGGGGCATATGTGCCAGTGAAGAAGCAAGGAAGCCGGGAGGTGCCAGGTTAGTTCCTGTAACAGGAACTAACTGGGACTTGTGGAAACTCTAATCACTCTAGAGGGTGGTACCCCACTGACTTAAGTAGTACCACACCAGGGAACAAGTTTCCAACACACGAACCTATCCAAACTATAACAGCAGCATGACAGTACTTTGACCTGAGGGTAGTGTCTTTTGAAATGTCAGTTCAGGATGAAACCTAAATTCCCCTCTGTAGAAATGTCCTCCTCTACTCAGTTCATCTGTCTAAATGTTATGTGGAAATGTTTGCAGAATGCTGTGTTCCTTCCTGTAATAGCGGTGAGCCATAAATGGAAATGTTTGGAGCAGAAAATGATTGAAAGCACTAATCACTATTCTTAGGTTGTATGGGAGTGTAAACTAAAAATCCCTATTTGTTTACGGTACATGATTGCTAGTCCCATACTGTGCTACATTTGTTCGTGGTAATAATCATTTTCTTAGATGATAGCAATGTATAAAGTGTTAAATGTTGAAATAAATATCAGAATAGATGAAATTCAGTACCATTTTTTATTTGAATACAAAGCATTTTATGTTGGACTTTGGGATCTGGATTAAAATGCTTATGACACTCAAAAATTGAATTTTTATTTTTCTTTCAGAGAATTGTGAGTGCTCAGAGCTTGGCTGAAGATGATGTGGAATGAGAAACAAACGTCAACATAATAAAATCTCAGATAAAAAATGTTAAAAATTATTAACTTGGAAGATGAGCAGCTCTGGGGGAATAAGGGCAAATGCGTTTGTTATAGACTGTCCTACACTGAAGTCTACCAAAGTTATTGTTTGCTTTGTGTAGATCCATTCATTTGTTTTATTTATTTTTCCCAGTGAAAAGTGTATTTTGATAGAGCTTTTCATTTTATAAATACACTATAAATTACCAAAATATCACAGATTTTATGTATTCCTAAGACATGCAGTTAAAGTGTATGCATGGCATAGGTTTCTTGGGCTAAAAAACAGCCAGTTCTCAGTTTTAAAAGTTAGGCAAAAAAGTGTGAAGAGTGCACATTTTTTAAGCTAGTACATTTTACTATAAATCAGAAAATTGGATAGAAACTTTATTGTTTATGAAAATGAAGCATTAAATCTTTGAGAGATCATTTCATCTCTGAAACGTGAGGTGTGCTACTGTGCTGTGTTAACTTGACCTCCTCCCTGTGTATCAGTCCTAAAATCTTTTATTTAAATCAGTGGGCTTCTGTGTTCTGGGTATTATATCCTTATTTTAAGTATATGGGGTTGCAGGTGGCACCAGGAGTTAGATCTGTGTGCACCTGGTGTCGCCACATGAGCTTTGCCAGTACATGTCTGCTCACTTTCCTCATTCATAGAAGGAGAGACTGGTCTGCTGATCCCTCAAGGGTCCCTTTCAGTTTGCAATTCACCTGAGTGTATTTGTGCAGCCAGGTCTTGCATTTTTTTTTTTTTAATATTCTGAATTCTGCATGCTTGCCTGAATTAGTATTTCTGAATTGATCTTTTCTAAATGGTATGACTGTCTTCGTTTTCACTGAGACTAAATAGTTTTGTCACTACTGTATAAATTAATCTGAAACTTAACTTTTTAAGTAACTGGGATGATCTGCTTGTAAGATGATTCCTTTTTTGCTTTTATCTTCAGTGTACCTCCTTAATTCTTCAGCTTGATTGTCTTGTGCGGTAAATGAAGTGTGATCTTGTGACTAAAGATTTGGGAAGACTGGGGCTGGTGGGACCTTTTATTTTCAAATAGTGGCATATTATCTGAGTCACAGACTCCATTTCAGAACTGAGAATAAATAAAGATCCTTGGTACTTAATGGCATCTGTTTGTTTCAGGAGCATTTCTCCTAGGGGTTGCCTGTGTTTTGACAAATCTGTGGAGAGGCCCAGAAGACTACTGTGTAGCAGACTTCATTTTGGTTGCTTAGAGGCTTTTCTTACCTTTCATCTTGGGTTCATTGTATTTGTGAATATGGCTCTAGTTTCTGCCTCTGGTTAGCTGCATAGCCTTGGGCAGTTACCCTCACATATTTGAACTTGGATCTTGGTGTGGGGTTTTTTGTTGTTGTTGCTGTAGTTTTTGTTCTGGGGATTGAACTCAAGGGCACTCAACCACTGAGCCACGTCCCCAGCCCTATTTTGTATTTTATTTAGAGACAGCTTCTCACTGAGTTGCATTGCTGAGGCTGGTTTTGAATTTGCGATCCTCCTGTCTCAGCCTCCTCAGCTGCTGGGATGTCAGGCCCTGTGATGTTTGCTTCCTCTTTCTGAGGTGCTTCCTGGGCCTGTGAACAGTGGTGCTTCCTGGTGATGACACAGTGTGCTTTTGTGGGGCAGTGGCCTATAATTATATGCTTGTTAGTGAGTTTTGCTGATGGGATCTCAAATTCCAAACAGCATGGTGGCAGCTGCCCAGGGACTAACCACACAGCCAAGAAATAATCCTCTGATGCCCAGACATGGGCAGAGGGCCAGAGGGAAAATAGGTGGGGAATGGGAGTGGCAAAAGCTTGGCAGACAGAATGGGCCCAGAGAAATGAGGGCTTGCTGGGAGGATGGGGGCAGTTTAGGCTGACCACCTCAAGAAATGATGTGGTATCAGCTGTGTGTCCCTGGGCTCTCTGGAGATAATAGATTTCCCTACTGGAAAATAAGGCTGTTTTCTTATTTCAGTAATAGGCTTTTGTCTTTGAAATTAAGTACCACCTTTGAAAGCTTGCAGTGTTTGCTTAAAAATAAAAGCTGGGGCTGGGGTTGTAGCTCAGCGGTGGAGCGCTTGCCTAGCACATGCGAGGCCTTGGTTTCGATCCTCAGCGCCACATAAAAATAAACAAAGATATTGTGTCCAACCACAACTACAAAATTAAGTTTTAAAAAAAAAATCAGCTGTCTTTCCCCCAGAATCATGACTGCTGAATGCTTAGTGATAGAACCAGCAAGTCCTGGATGCTGGCCAAATAATGTTCAGAAAGTCAGTGAAGAAATGCCATGCTTCAGTAAACTAGGTAACAGTTTGAATGCCTGTGAGCTCATCTGAAAGCTGTGGAAGCACAACTTGAGTATAAGAGCAGGTGACACACTTCTTTGGGCAAAAAGATGCATTGTTTGGTTCATTTTGTACTTAAAAAGAAGAAGCATTTAAAATCCAGGCAAGCCTGGTGGTAGCAGTGCTATCCTGGGAACAGATAACTAGAGCCGTGTTGGTTTGTAATGGGAAGTGTGTAAAGCCTGTTGCATGGCTGGAGACCAGGAAATGCTTGATTCCGTTAACCTCAGTGAGTTTGTTATTTTTACCATCTTTCACTTTTATGACCTTTTTGAATCAACATATGAACCAGAGTGTTGATGAAATGCCTAAAAGGTGATGGGGAAATTGGTGGATCACGCAGATAACATACCAGATCCTGTTTTCTTGTAACATTTTTTTTTAAAAAATGAAGTTTTGTTACTGTTTATGTTTCAGCTGTTCAAGTGAATATTAAAGGGCTTGGAGAAAAGTTTGACTTTGTGTGTATTTATAAAAGTGAATTCTGCAGAATTTGGTGGCTCTAAAGCAGAAAGCACACCTGCTTTTAGGATATTGAATTTCAGGAGCTGAGCTGAGCAGCTTCTCCTCCAGGAGAAAGCACGGTTGCTTGTGATTCTGGGGTTTTGGTGTGGGGCTCATTTCAGGTTAAGAATCTCTGCCATAAATGTCACTAGATGAGGCAGGGGTTCAACCTCTCCATGTCAGCACTGGGAAGGTTTGTTAAAGCAGATTGCCAGATAGTTATGGGGCAGTGTATTAGTGTTTCTAGCAAGTTCTTGGGGTGGTGGTAATGCTGGTCTGGAAGTGACAGATGCAGGAGCTCAGTGGCGATGTGGAAAAGGTGAACAGGAAATCCCTCTTAGAGAATACTGACTGGGTTGATGTCAGACCCAGTACTTGAGTCCTCTGGAAACTGGCCAGCTGGTAGCAGAACGTGGTTTAGGACACACTGACCTGAAGCAAAAGGACTATTAGTATCAGACTTCTTAAATCATGTATCAAGATAGGGTGATCCACTAACTGCATCCGTCAGTTATGCAAAATTACAACATGTGAGCATTTTAGTTTTACTTTTCCAAAAAAAACTTTCCCGAAGAGGTTTCTAGGATGCATTAAATGCACTTTCTCTTGTTAAGGGCACACTGTTGTGTGAAAACATCTCCGTGAACACTGACAAGAGTGCCAGGTTTAGTAGCATGCAATTGTCCCAACTACTTGAAAGACTGAGGCAAGAGGATCATGTGAGCCTATGAGTTGAAGACCAGTCTGGGCAATGTGTTGAGGTCCCAAAGGAAAAACTGCATTGGGAGGGAGTGGAAGCAAGGAAGAAAAGTGGAGGCTAGAGGTTGTGGTCAGGTCGCAGCTTCTTAGGAAGGGGTGGGTAGTGGGTGGTGCTAGCACATTGAAGATTGAGGGAGTCTCCCTGCTGGCCTTTCCTTTACATAAGGAAGTAGACCAAACCGAGCAGCCTCTCTGGTTTGGTTTTGGTAGGGTGGATATCTTTGAAGTCCTGAAGTGAGACTCTTTTCCCACCGTAATAGACTGGTCCCTGGAGGTGGAGCAGTGTAAGGAGGACAGTGGGTGTTCTGGCAGCAATTCACTCTGCCTGTGGTGCCAGATCTCATTTCCTAAGGAGCCTTTCGAGCAGAAGTTCCCAGCACTTGCACTAGGTCCAGTGTAAATTAAGGCTCCACTGGGAAGTACAGGAACCAGCCTGGATCCGTTTAAGAAGTAATAACCCTTGTTAGCTCCTGGGAAAGAATAGATTCAGGTTGGATCTACTGGGGTCTCTGAACAAGGACATCTCCCTGGAGCAGCTGCAGGCTCGCAAGTGACAGTATGTTAACTGATACTTTTCACCACCCAGTAAGGCACTTAGCTGAAGAAGCCTGTCCAGGGGGTTGTACCTGGTAACCTACTTGATAGCAAGGACAGAAAGAGGAGACTTTCTTAATCTGAAAGAAAGGCATGAAAAAATAAGCAAATAAAACAAAGTGGCCTCCATATTGTTTGAGTTGTACAGGGGATGACTGCTTATTTCCGGGGGACACACCGCCTTCAGAGTTGAAAGCATAAAGCATTGACCTGTCATACCTGTAAATTTTATTTTTGTGTTTTGCCAGCAGTGGAACCCAGGCCTTCACCCATGCAAGGCAGATACGCCACCCCTGAGCTACACCCCAGCCCTCTCCTACCTTTTTAAAAAATATTTATTTTATAATGTTGCTGTTTGTGACACAGCTTTTCCCCCTCCCAAGTTGCTGAAGTGGTTGATGCTTTGGGAGGGTATGCTGTGACTTCAAAGCTCCTGCCACAGAGACCTGGGAAGCAGGACCAGAGGTGTTGGAAAGGCTGGGTTGGAGAGCAGATGTGTGTGGGAGGGGTTGGATAGATCTGGGCTTGAGTTCACTTGGCCTTTCCCTTTCCCAGCAGTCTTCTGCCTGGCTGTTACTGGCCTCGTCCTGTCAGTGACCTAGCCCTCCCATCCTGTTCCTACTGGCTCTCTCATCCCTTACACCTCTCGGCCTCCCTGCCACTATCTAGGGTTTTGTATCCAGTGTTGCTGCTGGCTCTTCCCCTACAGTCCACTCTTGCCTGCAGACTACCAGTGCCCTCCTCCCCTCCCCACAGGTCTGGTCCTACTATGGTAACTCACACCCCACCCCAACCCCGTGTGCCCCCTGCCCAGCTGCTACCCCATCTTTTGCCTCGGGGCTTTACCCATGATGCATCCTGGGCCATGATCCAGCCACTGGTCCCATGCCTGGGGTAAGCATTCCATGCCCTCAGTCATTGTACCATCTAGCTAAGAGTCTTCACACCATCTTCCCCCCCTGTGTGTGGGGGGGGGGGGTTAGGTACTCCTTACTGGGAGAATGTAGAGCCCTGGGATATTCATAACCATGGTGTTTACCAAGATCTACTGTAATCTGGTGGCTTCCATATTTCCTACTAGATCTTTCTTGTAAACAGTCATGTATCTTACTGATTATTGGTCTCCCCAGCATAAAGCATTGGTAACTGGTCTAAATAATGAGTGGAAATCCACATGGGCAAAAATAGGTTGGGAATTTTTCACAGTGAAATGTGAAAGATAATGCGGATGACCCAAGGCAAGTGGAAAGAAAAAAGTAAGTTTTGTGAGTAGAAGGGAACAAACCTGTTTACCTTACTTCATAACTGATGGTCAACTCTCCTAGCTTAGTAGGATGCCAAAAAAAATAAAAACAAACTCAACAGCCATTGAAGTAGCATTTGTAGTTTGTTTGGTTTCTATTTTAATAAAAAAAGTATAATTTACTCTAGGCCACTGTTTCCATGGAAACCTGCCAAATGGAGGGAAGAGTTAAGTGCAGTTCATCATGGAAAGCTCCCCTTCTGTGGACCAATCTCTGCTCTGCTCTCCCTGGTCTTGTCCTCAGGAAGTTTGTGGCTTCCCTTGACTGAAGGAGCTGGAGACAGTAGTCCAGAGAGCTACCTCCTGTTCACTATGGAGACTCAGTTTAACCTGCTGGTTCTTAAAGTCATTTTTACATTGAGAGAAATTCTAGCTAAAGGAACCCTGCCTCCATTAGATGCTGGCTGATAGAAGACTTGCCAGGCCTTCCCTTACGGTATTGCATTGGACATCCGGTAAGTTCTGTTTAAATGCTGCCCACCAGAACAGTACAGGACAGACTGTAGTCTAATAATAGCTCCCGTGCTTGGAATTCTGGCTCTGGCTTTCTAACCTTGGGTGACTAATTACTTGGGTACTTAATTACTTAGAAATATTGTCTGAACTTTGGTTCCAC